ATTTCTTGTAAACACAGACTATTTCAGAATCTTCTAAATTTGTAGTAACCAGTCAGCATAGAGCAGCAGATTAGGTGGCAACAGCTTCTGTGGGATGCTGGACATGGATTTGAGTTAATGTTTATATTGAGGCAGCTGCATGAAACCAAATGCCACATTAGTTCAGTGGCAAGCAGGAAATACCAAAAGAAAATAGAAGTATACAAGACCCAGTATTTCTTCTGGTTTGCTGTTACTGACATTTTACAATTTGGGATCTAGAGGACATGTAATCTTTTCTGTGCATATCCAATACTGCTGCTTGCAGTAGTTTACATTATGAAGGACCTGGAGTGGGAGATGTTTATCACATAAAGAGAATTTCCCCATCTTGTTGCTGTAAAGTATGGATTCAGACACTAAAGATTTTATTTCTCATTACAGGATTTGCTTCAGATGCAGTATGAAGGTGTGGCTGTAATGAAAATGTTTGATAAAGCAAAAGTGAATGTGAATCTGCTCATATTCTTGTTGAATAAGAAGTTCTATGGAAAATGAGTGTTTTCAGATATCATGGACTTCATCAATCAGTGAGAAGTCTATTCAGTATTTTTTTGCTTATAAACTTTTATTTGAAGTTTGTCGTTGGATGCTTTTTAACTTTGAACCCTCCCCTAAAACACCAAATGTTCAGAGGAATATACACAGTGCCTTTTCAGCATTGATAATGAACAGAAAACCAGGACGTTGATTCCTTTAAACAGTTCAAGATTTCATTGGTGTTGGTACTTTCAAATCAGAATATTGTTTAGGACACACAGCTTTCGTTGTATGAATTTTAAGGTAGGCAGATATGGAATTTAGTTGAATATATAAACCTCTTCCTATTGAAACATTTTAAAATTACCTCAGATATATAATATAGTTCATACTAGACTTTAAGTATTTACCAAAAGAAAACCTAATTTGTTTCTAAGGGATAGCTTGAGCAAATGTTTAGTTACATACTAAGCCTATTTTGTGGCAGTTGTCAATTGCAAAGCACACTTATTGTGCAATTCAAAAATTTTTATAGGTAATTATAAAGTGACAATAATGACTTACTTCACAAAAATGTATTTTGTGATTCATTCCTACTAAATGCACTACTGCCTCATGCAAAATGACATTTTCTACTTTCACAGCCTTTGGAGTGGTATTGGGGAAATCTGAATAGCGAACAGTTGTTCAGTTTGAAGTATTTGAATACTTAAATTGTGCCTTTTTTTTTTTGTAAGAAAATAAATGCAATAAAATCAGTATTTAGATTGGTGGTTTTTAAATATTCTCTGGAGATTGTTTTATGTAAAATAAACATTACCTAATTAAACTGCCTTAGTTCCTAAATTTCATTTAAAGAAATCATTAAAGCAGCAATCCAGATGGTAGTTGAAAGAACTTCTTTCAGTGCTTTTATAAAATTGCATCTAATTAATCCTGATTGCCCTCAGTATGTTTTGGGAAGACTGCTCATTCTTTATGCCACTGAATGTGACAATGATTTTGCTGATGAACTAGCACTTAAAGCTACAGAGCAAAAGTATGTACTGCAGGTAATGTGACAAATACATAAACCAACAGAAAATATTTCCTACTTTCACTTTTCTTGTGACAAAGATTTCAAAAGACAGACAGTGAGACATTCCAGAATGAATTGTAAAAGCAAATATGAAATAAGTATTAACACTGGTGAGGGAATAAAACAATGCAAAGTCACTGGCAGATATATAGATTACAAGTTCAGTTGACAAACTAATTGGCCTGTGGTATTATACAAGCTGAAAAAATTATTACTCTTACTGGAGATATTAATTCATGCATGGCATTAAATCTGAACACTTGACTACTTTGAAACAGCTAATATCCCTAATTAAAAGATAAAAAGCTCCTCCGTGCTTCCATTTTTCTTGTAGCTGGTTATGTACAAACTATTCTAATACAATATAAATGCTGCAGTATTGATACCATGGTTCACTTAAAATAGCTACATAGGAAGGTGAAAGTAACACTTTTACTTTCAAAGGAGATAAATTAATTGTACTTGAATATCAATTAAACTCATAATCTTTTTTCCCTTTTTATTTGCAGCAGACTTTACTAATAAATATATTTTTGACAAACTGTAGCTGTGCAAAGTCTGCACAGGTATGATGTTGATCCTAAGACCAGACTCTGTGTCCAAAGCCTGAAATTCTGCTGGTGAGAGATGCTAGAGCCCCACAGCCTTTGTGGGAGTAATTCTCTCCTGAATAAGCAATTTTGTGTAATACACTTGACACATCTAGTGCCTGCCTAGTTCTAATGCAAACAACATGACTTCCCGGTGCAGATAAGTTCAGAAAAGCCTATTTGGTCCCCAGCTAATGACATGTATGAATGATATAATCTATGTGCTAGCATTCACCTTTTCCAACCACTGGGCTTCCTGTTCTTCCTAGTACACATCAAAGAGTAATTACCGTCTAATTTCTTTGAACTCCTTTATAAGCTTTTTTCCTTAATTAACTGGTTCAATATAGGGCCTTGTCACTGAACAAATAATGAACCCTGCTAAACAGGACTGGCTACAATGATTCCTACTTAAATATAAGATTGATGGCAGTACCAAGCACCATACAAATGAGCAAACTGATTCTGTGTTCACCAGTGCTGCTGACAGCTACTAAATACAACCAAAAAGGAAAGGAGGCTGCTATAAGCTGCAACATAGGGACTTCAGCATTAGATAGGACTTGCTGAAACCAGTTTCATTCAGGAAATGATGGTGTGGAAAGACTTGCACTGCTGATTCAAATTTGGAGAAAAAAGCGAGTACACCTAAATAGGGCCTATGCGTCAGTTGTCAACACAGACAAAAGGCATCTTTCCTTGGACAACTTGTCTATTTCTGAAATTATAATAAACAATAGTCTTAGTCTGTTAGCTCTGAGGTTTGCATTATTCTATCATGTATCTTTGGAGTTGACTAAGAGTCCTTGGCAGCTACCTTAATTTATTTTGGAATTTATCCATTCTCATGGGGCTCTGAAGTTCCAAAACTATTAAGAGAATTGCAGAACAACATCCTTCTTCTTGGCCAAGCACACAGAAACACCATCACAAGCAATAGCTTTGTTCTATTTTACTTTGCACTTATCTGCTAACTTTCTTTCAACTTTTTTTTTCTTTACAGAATACAGGAGCAAAATAACAACTTTCCCTGTAACAGAAAATCCGAACTCTGACTGTCACACATAATTTCAACCTCATAACTAGATAGACAACCCTTTTCCTGGGTGACCGAATTACCCTCCGAGATACATTTCTAACCTGACTCTCTTTCAGTGGCACCTATTCACCTCTGACATGCAACATCTTTCACAAACTCTGTAAACTGATTTATCCCTTAAGAACCAATACACTAATTAAGGCTTCTTGAAATGTAAGAAAAATAAATACTGGCAACATAAGCTATTTTGAGGTCTGCTAGGATATTTACAATTACCTATTCATTTTAAGGAAGGCTGATATTTAGTTCACTTCTATTCTGGGTTTAGAAAGTTCTAAGAGTTACTTTTGGGTATGTTTATAAAGCTGTGAGACTACAGAAATGAACAAGGATAGCTTTACTTTCTCTTCCCCAATAAATAATTACCTCTGATTAAGGTATTTTCTAAACAGATGAATAGTTCACAATTAAGTAAAAGGCATTTTGTGCAGGTTCCCTAGTGTGTTCGGGATGATAGAGCTGTAGAAAGGCTGGTCAGCTGTAAAACATATTTATTACTTGTTCTACACAAAGTGAAGTCAACTTCAACACTGCTATAACTTAGCAAGTGGTAGGACTGTGAGAGTAACACCATAAATTCGTGGCCTCACAGATTCACCTTGCATAAATAATTCTGATGGTTCTTTCAACAGATTGTTTGATCAACTTGAGCAGGTTTCTGATATCCCAAGGTTCTGGTTGACAGGCCAAAGTTACCCAGTGGTTTCTGACACCACTGAACAACAGTTCTGCACGACCTCCACACTCCACCTGCAGTGACACAGGCATAGAACTTACTGGGAACCAGTACTTGTGACTAGGGGTATTTGTTTTCCATGGGTTTTATTCTCAATTAAAAGCAAAGGTCAGTGCTTCTGCAGTAATAAAGGCACTTCATACATATGAACGAGTTCTAAACAGAGTCTTCTCTCCTTTTTTAATCTTCATTGCTGTAAACAGAAGGATGTACAGTTGAGGATGAGACAGCACATCCTAGCAAACCAGAGTGTACACTTGTAAAGCTCTTAAGTATTACAGGCCTAATATATAGAAAACACTCAAACCACCAATGCAGTATTTTGAAAGAAAAAAGGCTAAATAAGAGCTGCAAAATTATCAAAGTATCTTCCTATACAGCTTCCATGTAAGTTTCAGTTCAACCACTTCAGTTCATGAGCATCTCAACAACAGCACAAATATTCTAAGGCTTGTCCATGTCACATGCCACTGGACGGGGGAGTGGAAGCACTTCCTCAGGGATCTTGGGGTAGCACACAGGTCTGCAGAGCAGGGTAATGTATCGCTTTTGGGTTGTCCTGTGTTTGTAGAGTAGACAGTTTACTGAACTCATGCAATACAAGCAAGCTTCACCATCATCTCCTTTATACAAAGTGGATCAGTATTAAGAGGCTTTTTGGAAGTAATGTATTTCAGCTGGCCTCGGAACTGCTCCTATGAGGCACTTGGCCTGCGCAAATTTGGCAGGCTAAGTTTAGCATAATTCCTCGGGCACAACCCTTTGTTCCTCACCTCCTGACCCCTCACTCGGCCCGAGCCTACGACCGCTTCCCGTTTCCCAGCTGGGCGCGGGGGCTGCTGGCTGGCCTGTGTGTGCTGTGGGAGTGGCCGCTGCCCTTCCTTCCCCTCCCCTCCCGGTACCGCCGAGACCCAGCTCTCCCCCCGCCACCGGCGCGCCCCCCGCTCCCCGCACAGGGGTGGCCCTTCGGCAGCCCCAGCCTTCCAGACGCGGCGGTCGCCTGCCCCGCGCTGCTTGCACGGACGGAGGGACGGAGGGAGCTCCGACCATGGGGTCCCGGGCGCTACTCTGTGCCGCGGCGCTGCTGTGCTGCCCGCTCTCGCCGCCCGCCGGTGCGGCCGCTGAGTCGCGGCCGGAGCTCGGGAGGGGCGGGCCCGAGAGGGGCGCCGCGCCCCTGCCAGGTGAGTGCGCTGGGCAGCGGGGCCGAGCGCGGATCGCGGGAGTTCGGCGGGGCCGGGGGCCGGGGTGGGGGGTGGTGTGTGTATAAAAAAAGTGCCTCAGTATCGTGTGCCCGCACGTAGCCGGGTCACGGTGCTCCCACTTTGGGGTTTTCATGCGAGTTAGAGCCGAGTAGTCTTGGTGGTTGTGAAGAGCGACAGTAGGTTTGTGGACGTGGTAGCGGCGGGGTGCGCTGCTGGTGGTGGTGAAGGGTGGCTTCGAGTTTCGCCGAAGCGAAGGAGGTGGCCAGGCTATAGCAAGTGGTGATGGAAAGAAGTGACTTGGCTGGTCAGACGTGTTGGTGGACCGCCTTAAAAAACTGGTATTGCCTTTTACTAGCAAGTACAGAAGGCGGAATACCAGCTGAATTTGTAGGGAGCACAAACTTTGGAAGACCTGCCAGCACAAAACATTTCAGAATATCCACCCCAAGCAGATGACTTTCAGGCTTATTCAATTAGAAATAGCACTAATAGCAACGTTAGTGCCCTAACTGAGGAGACCATGGATCCGTCCAGCTCAGAGCTTGTTAGACAATGCAGTTGCCGACGGAAGGAAGGTAGGAGAAGATACGCAGGCACGCAACCCTCCCAGATTATGGTAGAGGTACAACAGTACCAACGATTACGTATTTAGAGATTAGCAGAGGTTTGTTTTTTTCTGTGACATTCAGTTTAACATTTCTTTCAATCAGCTAGTGATGATAGTACTGCTGTACTGTATCCCATAAGGTGCCTGCTGTGACGCCTCTGTTCAGGCCCTATGTACAGAAAAGGGCTGATTAGGTGAGCAAGTAAGGGGAAATCTCAGTGTGGTGTACTTTGACTACTGAACTGAAGACTGAAAGGGGACAGACCTAGTGTTTGTAATTATGCTGAGAGGGAAGTATCAAAGGGGGAAAATAATTTTTGCTAAACAACTTTTTGTCACAAGGATGAGTGGTAATGAAGAGATCACAATCGTGTTCATATGGGAATTCTAAGGAAAATGTCCTTAAAAAAAGCAGGGGTTCGTGTAAAGGACAAACTATACATGTTACTGCTAGAAAAAAGATTGCACTGTTGGGTGCTACTCGTACAGTTTATGGGGACATTCAAACTTGTTTTCCTGCCTTTAGCAATTACAGTTTTCATTAAAGAGCACTCTAAATTACAGTACTTATTTGCTACTTCCTGTGAAAATAATAGCTACTGTATTGTGTTGTTAGGAAAAGAAAAATTCAAAACAAGTTACTTCATGCACAACAGAATTCACAAAGTCTGACCATCTGAATATATCTTCTGCTCTCCTTGTCACTCCCATGTAACTATATGATTTGCCCATTGTCCCAGATATCCTTCCTTGTTCTTACCACAGTGTAATTAATGCCCATCGCCCAGGCACTGTTGTATCCCTAAATCAGCTCTGCCCTTGGATCTGCAGCTTCTCCTATGCTTTGTCACTGTCCATTAGTATCCACAGTTACCACATTATGGACGAGTGCTGATTCTGTCCTGTGGGCAGGTGAAAAAGAAATAGTTTGGCATGGGATTGGTTTTAAATGCTTGCAGATTATCTGACCAGATGTTGCTGAGGTGGCTGACCAAGGTGTGAACTTGCCCAGATGAACTTCTCTGCACTGGGACACTGACAGCCAGAATAGAGAGATATCTTTGCTTGAAGCCAGCACGTGTAGTTAAAGAGATGGAGAAAGAAAACAAAAAAGGAGTAGACACTTGGTTGCAAGCAATACTTCAGGAAGATGTATTCTAATGGTTACTAATTAGCCTATAATACATTAAAAAAATTCTGTATAAATGGAGATGTGGACTGTTGAAGATTTTCTTAAAGACAATTCAATGTTTATTTTTATAAAAGCAAGTAACTGTCATCCCTGCTACAAGGTTGTGTCTTACCTTGTTTATTAACACATCTGGCATGCACTTCACAGTTTGCCTTCAAGTACCTCATTTATGGGCCACTGAGAAATTTACATTCTAGATGCTTATCAATTCAGATTATACAAAGAGGTGATAAGAGAAACCGAGTTTTTGTAATAAGCCAGCACCAGCGGTGTGGGTGCAGCTGTCACCAGTAATGCCCAGAAATTAGTATTAATTGTCAAGGAGCACATAGGGAACATATTTAATTGCTTCTCTAGGAGCCTATTCTTTAGTCTCCCACATCACAAAGATATCCCTTGGGATATGAGGGCTGCTGTTCTGTAACGTCCTGTGCAGATTTCTGGGTCTACAGAAATATTTTTAAATTTTCTTCTTGAGCTCAAGAGTGCTTTTTAAGATTGGCTGAGGCTGTTGAATTTTTTGCTCTCTAATTCTCGTCTCACAGAACAGTATGCCCCTTGCATATGAACACAGGCATGAAAAGAAATTCTAAAATAGCTCTCTATTAAAAAAAATAGCAGTAAGTATAAAGTATAAAAAAATGCAGAGTAAGCAGAATATGATTATGCTGATTGTGAGACAAACAGTTTGTAGTACTTGATGGAAAACAGCACAGTATAAATTAGACAATCCCAAACTTACTGAGCTTTCTACATCGTTTCTCTATGTCCTCATTAGAGAACTGGTGCAAAAACCAGTCAGTAAAGGAAAACTTCAGGCAGTTTGAGTATTGTACTCATTCTATGTAATTTTTGGCTTTTGAAATCCTTATTGGAAGCAAAGAAAAACACTATATGTGTATCATTCAGTGTCCTTACTACACAGCACTAGGATAAAACCTTCGTGCTTCATCCTGCTATTTCTTTGTCCATAGTTTATTAGTCCTCTTCTTTCATGCCTTCTTAAATTTTGCAGGTATTTTGACAGAGCTGTTAACTGTCGTATCAGCAGTGAGAGTACTATTATTCATAAAACCAGAAATCCACCAGTTTAACTTCTTCCAAAAGGACTGGATGACAACCTAGCAAAAAGAAGATGACCCTTTTAACAGTTGTTATTATTATACAAGCTTTGCCTCTCTTTTCTTAAGAGATTATTTGGATTATTAAAAACTACTTAAACTGAAATATGTTTTAGACAAATTATATGTGTAACTTTTAAATGGCTAGAAAGGACCATTTCACAGTTTGTGGTATAGCTGTAGCTATCTAAGAGCAGTTACACAATCTTTCCTTTAGAGCTGCTGTATCGGCTGTCTTGTACAGACCCAGCTTAAAGGTAATGCCTGTTTCCTATTACTGACATTTTTGTTTATTATGAAGGTTAATGAAGATCCTTTGAAATAATATGACATCATTTCATCCTCTTCCGTTCTGTGTATAAATCTCTTATCATTGGCTTTTTCAAATAAACACTGACTCAAAAGGAATACAAAACCTCAGGGCAGCAACTGTCTTCTGTTCAGAAAGTATGGAGTGCAGTATTTTTTCTAGAATTACATAGATACTGTGTCATACAAACAGCTTTCTAAAGAAAGAACTGTTATGTGGCTATCAAGCTTTTAAATTATAATTAAATTTCATCAAGAAGGTTTAAATCGCCACTCTCTATATCAAAGAGTGGCACAAAAATAGCAAGTTGGAGGTCTCATTACATTTTGCCATAGAGTTGGCTTTCAGATAGTACCTCTTGTCATCCAAGTTTGAGTCAGGGACATGGACTGAGTACAGGGGACAGCATGGAGGCATTGTTGACAGCATGAAGGTTGAATTCAACTCTGAACTTAGAAAGTCCTTACTTCTACAAAGAACAGGTAGTTTTCACCAAGTTAGACTTTTAACTGAAATTATTTTTAAAATTTTTTGTTCTTGTTTATTGTAATAGGATTCTATATTTAGAAATTTTTTGTATAATGGAGTAATGCATACTCTAAATCCTCTCATCTAAAAAAGCTGTAAACAAGAGGGCTCCAAGAATTCAGGATATAATTAAATTTATTAGCAATGTTCAATTAACTGTAAGCAATCATAACTTTTTTTTTTTGCATATTTTCATATTGTTCTAAGTTTGGAGATACTGATGAGAAATGGGTCAAGTTACTACTAATCACTGCATTAAGTGTTTTAATTTCCCTCATTAAGGATGAGTGGCTCTGACTGACTTGCTTGCTGGTCCTCAAATCTATGACCCTGCAGCACTGCTGGCTCAGGTCCTTCAAAGTTCAGAGATACTGGGATGAGAGGGGTACTTGTGCCCCAGTTATCACATCATGGAGAGGTAATCTGGACAATACAGTTCCTATCTCCCTCACACATTTACCCTCCTTCTCATAAAGTTGTTTATATTTGTGTTCTCAAAAACATGCCTTCCTCAGATGAAACCATGTCACCTCTTCATTTGGTTTTCCATGCTGTTTTTCAGTGGTGAAGAAATCAAGAAGGACAGGTAGACCTTTGGGGGACTAGGCTCATCATTGTCTTTCAGAAATTTTCTGGTTTAGAAATACATATTCACAGTATTCAAAGTCTTGAATTCATAAAACTTAAATATACTGGAGATACAATACGTACCGTTCAAGATTTTTCATCACATTTACTGACACCTTTGCAGTGGAAACAAGCTTCTGGCTATAAGAAGCTAGGGGTTTTTTTTCATTCAAGTATAGTTATAATCCTCCCAAAAGAGATGAAGACTAATGGTGTCAGTTGTGACATATTTCTATTCCTTTAATCATTAAGTTCATAAAATCTGCTCACTCCTTGATGTCAGCCACAGGCTGAAGTGTCAGATAGAACTTGTGCCACACCTGAACTGCTAAGCTAGGAGCTGACTCTGAGCCACCGACCTGCTTGGACTAAACTTGAAAGTAAGGTTAAAGATTAGGGATCTATCGTTTTACCTATTGTTAGTGTTCTCTTTAAAACAGCAGAATCAACCCTATCAATATGTTTAGTGCCCTTTTGTGCAAACACTGAATCTCACATACTTCTGTATGTTTCTGTTTCCAACTAAATCGTTCCTACTGCAATCTACAAGCTCCCAGGCTGAAATTCTCATCCAGCATCTTTTTTTCTGACTGTTGCATTCTAGTCACTTTGCATACGAAAACCATTATCTCAAACACTTCCCTTCTTTTGTTCCCTCTGCCCCTAGAACGCTGCTGTGACACAGCATGATACATAAAGCACAACAACTTCAAAAAAGGTCACCAACTTTCCCTACCACTCCTCTGATCTCTCCTCACATTCACGTCTGAATTTCACTAAAATTAGTGCTGGGTAGGGCCCTTCTTGCATAGCCTTTATACAAAGGGAGTTAATTGCCTGCTTAAAACTGCAGACACTCCTCTCTTTGCCATCTGCATCCTTCACATGCTTTTGTTCTCACCTGCATTTAAAAAATGGTTTGAATTACTGTAGAACAAATAATTGTGTCTAACTAGCAGCATCTTACACAGGTGAATCATGCCCATGTACTTTCAGTTCACAGATCTGAGCTAACACACTCTCATTTTTATTTTAATTCTCTAGGATAGAAAATGATCAGCTGCACAGCTAATTAGAGGAATTATTAAAGTAGTAGTGACTTTCTACGGTCTGCCCACAATATGTTTGAATTATCCTATGCCTAACTAGATTAAGCCAAAACTGAAAATGACAGTCTGACAAAGTAATTCTCCATGAAAACAACTTTGCTGAAATAATGCCTAAATAGCTTTTTAGATTGTCTGGGTTAGTTTGGGTTTTTTTTGGTACGTAAATCAACGCATACTACACATTCAACACTATCATGCCAAATTCTTGACTCTTTAGATTTAAAAAACAGAGATACCGTGTCCTGACTTGGTCACAGCCACCAAACCATGCTGCAGAAGAACCTGCTGTAAAGGGAACACTCAGAAGTGCCCCAAGGGTACACCAGACACGTGCTGTTCTGCATGCTATGAGACAGAATAAATAGAACTGGGAAAGTGTTTCAATGCTGCCTGTCTGTTACAAGGAAAAGGCTGATCCGTGTCTACCTTGAAAACTGCATGTAGACTTCTCCATCTGTCTTGATGGGGGCCTTCAGGTTGAGTAAGATGTCTCCAGAGCACAAATATTTCAATAACATGATGCTTCACTAGCACTTTTATTTTTTGTTATTTTGGTAATGAGTACTTCTGACAGGAATTTCGTGTATGAATACTAGTATTTATCTCAGCATCTCATTTCTTAAAAAATGTGTGAAGGGTGCAGCAAAATCAGTTAAAGGGTGGCAAATTTCCTGTTGTGTCTGTGTTGAAGTAGCCCAAAGAAAGCAAAGATTAGATTGGGTACTTAAGCACAAGCTAGGATCACTCATAGCAGCTTCCAAGCTAAAAGATGGGAGACAAAGGAGGACATCTTACCCAAATTTGTAGCAGGAGCTAAAACAAAAAGGCTGCTCTGTGGGCAGCCTGCACTTTGAATCAGAAATTAACCTTATTATTTTGTGTTGCTAATGTAATCTTAGCTTTCTTTTTTGAAAGATGTTTTCACTTCCCCATACCATCTAAATATTTGCTTATTAATCTTAATATTGTCTTATTTTTTCAGCCTTTCCAAATAACAGCAGCATAGCACGTGTCAGAAGTTTTGCACTCTTTTCTTCTGTCAGTCACTCTGATGACCTTATACCTATTGAAGGTGATACAGACAATGACTTGGAAGTTGGATCAGGAGCCACCAATCAGACTGGATTATTCCCACGTGAACAACGAATGGTGTCCGTTCAAACATATAGATACCTCACTAGTCCATGGCTGACCCGTTTTGTTCCTTCAGTTTACACCTTCGTGCTTGTGCTGAGTCTCCCTCTGAACATCACAGCAATACTTGTGTTTCTGAAAAAAATGAAAATTGAAAAGCCAGCTGTAATTTACATGCTGAATTTGGCCCTGGCAGATGTCCTGTTTGTGAGCGTGCTTCCTTTCAAAATTGCTTATCACTTCTCTGGAAATGACTGGGTTTTTGGACCTCAGATGTGCCGTTTCATCACTGCTGCCTTCTATTGTAACATGTACTGCTCAGTAATGCTTATGACAAGCATAAGCTTCGATCGCTTCTTAGCAGTGGTGTATCCCATGCGGTCTCTTGGGTGGCGCACATTAACACGTGCCTCTCTGATTTGTTTCATCATATGGCTTGTAGCAATAAGCGGGGTTATACCTTTCCTCATCAGAGAGCAAACAGTGGAAATACCCAGGTTAAATATAACTACTTGCCACGATGTGCTAAGAGCATCTGAACTTCATGGCTATTACCTCCACTTCTTCTCCATCTTCTCTTCTGTGTTTTTCATAGTGCCATTTATCATTTCTACTGTCTGTTACGTGTGTATCATTCGATGTCTTAGTTCTTCTACCATTGTTGCAAAGCAAAATAAGAAGACACGCGCATTGCTCTTGTGTGTTGCTGTTTTTTCTGGTTTTGTTATTTGCTTTGGACCAACAAATGTCCTCCTATTAATTCATTATATCCATTTTTCTTATGACAACAGCTTAGAGTATCTCTACTTTGCCTATCTACTCAGTGTTTGTATCAGTAGTGTTAGCTGTTGCATTGACCCCTTTATTTACTACTATGCTTCTTCTCAGTATCAGAGGCAATTTTTCAGTCTCTTCAATTGTAAAAAGACTTTTGATCCTAACAGTAGTAACAGCAGTGGCCAGTTGATGTCTACCACTAGTAGAAGGGCTACGTTGTCTACTAATGTGAATAACAGTGTTTACAGGAAATTACTAGCAATGCATTGAGATAATGTATCTTATACATGTTTAGTTTTTACACAATTTCAGACAAAAAAAACACTTGTGTTATATCCCAGACATGCAAAACCGTAGACCATGATGTTGTATGATACATAGTGCTGTATTCATTATACTAATTCACAATTCAAATTAAAACTCTGTGTGTATACATATAGTATATGTAAATAGGTTCACATAAAGGGGATAATAGTTGTTGAATGTTTTTCAAATAAACTTCTTTTTAGACAAATCCTTTGCATTTTAGTTCCGTTTATTGTAGAGGTTTTATGAAATCCCATTTTAGTATTCTGAGCTGTTATCTGTCAGGTTGAATAAATTCTTACGTATGGAATCACTCCATCTATCCAGTAGTTCCTGAAAAAGAAGTGAAAATATCTCTCCAGACTTTTTTTTTCCCCTCTATTTGGCATTACTTCTGAAATTATCTGTAAACTTACTTTCTTTGCATTATTTTGAATCTCAAACTGTTTATTTTACATTTTTATACATTCTACTTCAAAACAGTCTGTATGGTTTTCGGAATGTGAGCAAAACCAAAAACCAGCTATTGCTGATTGTGCAATGTGTGTCAAGGGAGATAATTCTCAGCAGCTGGAACTAGCTTGTCTTTTGGTGTTCCTACCATTAGTGTATGCTAGGCATCTTGGCTAGGAATGTAGTATTTTAGACAATTTCACAAAAAAATTATGACATTTTATTCCTCAATAAATCAAAGACTCTCCAGAAAATACAGTGAAAAAGCTTTATTCATCATCTTGAAAACATGCTGTTGTGCACATGGTTAATCGTCATGCACATGTTTAGGACTTGGAAATATCCTTTATCCTTGCCAGCTTGGATGTTTTCATACTTTACACCTTGTCCATGTCTACTGAAATTGCTGTATGGCTAACCAATAGCTAACTTCATTCTGTGTAGCAGTCTTTTACTACAAGGAACACTAAAGCCAAGTAACAGGAATTCACTCTTAGAAACAAGCATGTAGGTATTAGGACTGTATATGAAAACGGAAATCAAACTGAGTAGGAATTTGCTTAATATAGGATGTGGCATAGAAATCTGCCAAGTACAGCAGTGGATAAAAGCTATCTTCAGGCCAGCACAATTAATAAACCTAATTCAGTGTGACAGCGAGACACTTCTTTCTAACCATGATCTCCTGTTGGTTGTGTCTATTCCTTAATGGATTTAGGCATAATTAAGTATTGCATTACTAGAGTTTTCTTTAGATTTTTGTTCTCAAACTTTTACCACTTTTTAAGTATGTGAGTGCTAGAAATATATGTATATGCAGTTTGTAAGCCTAAAGCCCCACAAATGAGGCATACTTAGTTACATTCTCATTTTGTTTAATATCATATTAGGGGTGGGCTGGCTTTTCAGCAAAATCCAAATGCATCTTGAAACTATGAACATCCACTTTGTGCTGGCAGAAAAAAATTACCTCTGTGCTTCCTGTAGTTACAGGCGGAGGGGCTGCTTTTTAGTCCAGGTTCAGAGGAAGGCCATGAAGATGATCAGAGAGCTGGAGCATCTCTCCTGTGAGGACAGGCTAAAAGAGTTGAGACTGTTCAGCCTGGAGTAGGCTCTGAGGTGACATTGCAGCCTTTCAGTACCTAACAGGGGTTGATAAGAAAAACGGAGACTTCTTAGCAGGATCTGCAGTGATAGAACATGGGGTAATGGCTTTAAACTGAAAGACAGTAAATTTAGATTAGATTTAGAAAGAAACTGACTGTGTGGTTGGTGAGGAACTGGAACAAGTTGCCTGGAGAAATTGTGGATGCTTCATCCCTGGAAATGTTCAAGCCAAGGTTGGATGAGGCTTTGAGCAACTTGGTCTAGCAGAAGGTGTCTCTGCCCATGGAGGGGAGTTAAAACTAGAAGGTCTTTAAGGTCCCTTCCAACCCAAACCATTCTGGGAATCGATTCTATAAGCTGCTGAGCGTAGTCATGCAGCAAAGCACAATGTGATGGCCTTTTGTGGAAACTGAACCAGAAAAATACTGCAAATTAGACTGACATGCTTAAACTAACAGGAAAACGTAACCATATCTTTATGCTTAATGCACCTGTGCACTGCTAGCTGGGAAAGAAAATTAACAGTTTGTTTCACAGGGAAGGAGTTAACATCTGACCAAAAGAAATGAAAATTGTTGATGTATATGCTGTTTCACCCATACCTTCTGCACCTCAGTCTTTCTTTTTTTTCTCCATCAGTTTGGAGTTAAGGTGCATAATTTTCTATATGAAGCAAGCTAACAGCCTTGTGCTAGATAACATTTGATAACAAGGAGGTGGCAGGCCCTAAACGTGCATAAGGAAGCTTGCTAATAATGTTCCAGTTATGCCAACTGCATGTTGTGGCAATATGGGCTAGGGAAAATTTGTAATCAGCATCTTTCTGTTGCCAAAACACCTCATATGGCATCTGTCACTGGTATAACTTATTTCACCTGGCAAGGTTTACTTAATTTAGCATGCCAAGGATTTTGCAGGGATTAGTACCTTATCACTAGAGGCATTTTGTCAGTTAATGCCGAGTGTGCACCTGCCTTACAACTTTGTCTGACTGCAGACAAAGTACAGTCTCCTGGCTCTAATTCCCTATTTAGATCAATCTCAGCCAGAAATGTGAGCATGGCTGCAAAGTGTGTTCATAATGCTTTGAACCAGGTAAACTGCATCAGGCCTACTTTAGATGGAATCCAGAAACTGACAAAAAGTATAAGCCAGACAGTAGATCACCAGTTACAGCTTCATACTAGAGGTCTCCAAGACCTGGGGGAAGAGCCTAATGTTGTGGGTGCAATAATTAAGTAAATTCCTTGATAAGGTCTTTTTTTTTTTTTTTTTTGATCATTTTCACCTTTTTTGATCTGATCACGGTTTCATCCTGCAAGATGCTGAGCAAATTTAAAAACATTAACCTCTCACTTGTTTAAAATTAATGACCAATATAAGTGATTTCTCATTATATTTTGCATTTTGCAAGTGCTATAGAAATAGTTTAGTGATTGCTAATACAGCTGGAGAAGGAAAATTAATAACGTGCTGTAATCCAACAATGCTAGAGAGCATTAAAATGAATAGATATGACTGTTGTAATTTGACTTGTTGGGGAGGAGACCATTAGGAACTGGATCTGAGTGTCATGCTGAACTGTGAAATACTGATTAGCCCACTATATAATTATGTGGATTTGGAAACATAGAAAAGTATTGGAATTTCATTGGAAAAGTAGGTGACTTTATTTTAAGTAGAACCTGTGAAAAGGGTCAGTAAAGTTTTGGGGAATAATTTTTCTTACATTTGTGCTACAGAATGCAATAAATTTATTAAGTTCAAAAATTAGGTCAACTAGCATAACTGGAATAATTGGTTAGCATGAATGCTATGCCTAAAGCAGTATGCACTGAGAACTCAGTCCCAGATGAGGAAGAACAGAGAGAAGGAGAGAGAAAACTCTGCTACCGAAACTTCTACATTGTTTTATCTGCCTGTTCAAGTGCTTATAAGTCTCCCTCTTTTGGAATACTTCCAAGAATATTTTTCTTGCAAGCTTTTCCCATAGGTCACAAAAGGAATAAGCCTGTATATCAGTGCCACTTATAGGATTTCTTTCAATTTATTTTCACTTTTTTTTTGTCTCCACTTTTCCTGACTCTAAGAGGCATAAGCAATCCTATTCAGCAAAGAATATAATATATCTAGTTATTTATCACAGCTTTAATCACCAAGGAAATGAAAAATATGTTGAAGATTTCTGATTTTGTCATTCAAACACAAGCTAGGAGGTATGAAAATAGAATACTACTCCCATCACTGAGAATTATATTTACAGCAGCTCTAAAATTCAGCTTATATCTCTTACTTTGCTTTAACATTTTTTCCTATTATTTGAATATTATCTTTGGTAAAATTTTTTGTAAGGAGGGACTTAATGCATTTCCCTCACTAGATGGAACATATATGTAAATTTGCTGAGCTATATGGACATTTTTCATTAAATTTAAGTATTTCTAACTCTTTCATATCTCTGCATCAGAGATACTGAGTTTTATTCCTGAGAATTCTTTCAAAATTACATTTCAAATGTTAAAACTGCTTAAGAGGCATGCTTGCCTAAAAGTATATTATCTTTTGTTTGGCCAACTGATACATTGTGGTGTGGAAAAAAAAGACAGTATTTTGTGTACTTCAGACCATTCTGGATAGCTTTCCAGGTTTTTATGTTCTTATTTTATTTTCTAAACAGAAGTCACTAATGCACTGATGTTCAATGAAAGCAGTGAAAATACTTCCTAACTTGAAAATCAGTCATCAAGAGTTACTGCTATTTTGAGCAAAATATTTTATCTTTGCTTGATCACAGTAACTCCTGTTTATACTCTAATGAAACAAGATATTTTAGTTTTTAACTTCCTTACCCCCCTTTCCAGTGTAGCACATAAAAACTAAACTGAGAAAAGAACAGCTTCAAGAAGAAGCCACTTCTCCATTCAGTGCTCTTTTTTTGCATTGTGGGCAAACTAAGGTCTGTAAAAGCATTGCCCAGAAGATGAGGGTTACAGTTCTCTTTTGAATATATGGGAAACTCTGCAAGTATATTAACACTATCTTCTTTTAAACTTTTGCATGCTTAGCCAGGTGGTCGAGGGAGTGAGGTGCCTGTAGCAGCTGGATAGGGATACTGGAATCTAAATACGATTTTAGATTTTCTCCAATTGTCATGATTTTCAAAACCATTAAAGAAAGGCCAATCCATTCTTGCAAAACTGTGAGATGTTACTCAGCAGAGCAAGCAGACAAATTGCAGCTACACTGAGTGCTTCATGTACCCAGCCCAGCACCTGCCCAAGCTCAGGCTGGGGACAAGCAGCTCCCAGGACCCTGGGGACAGCTGCGGCAGTAGCAGATGCCTCTGCGGCTTGGCTGTCCTGGCCCTCATGGCCCTTCAATCACCTACCTGCCAAGTCTCATGAGCACAGCTGCACACCCAAACTGAGGAGGAGCAGGAGAGCCAGGCAGAATGAAGGCAGCCTCCACCTTGCTCCATCACCAAGGCTGAGGCTCTCAGCTACAGCCTGGGCTCACATGCAGCTGCGTACAAGCTCTGGAGTGTGCAGCAAGCAAGGCTGTGCCTCATGTTTTTCCAGTGCTCAGGAGCCTGCCCAGTCTCTGACCCCAGGGTCAGCCATGCCTGAAAGTGCTTGGGGCCAGGCAGAGCCTCTAGCATATGCATCACAAGGACTTTTGCTGCCCCTGTTAATAGGAAGGTGCCAGCCTTGCCTGTGCCACAAACCAGGCACGGCTCTTGAGATTTAGCCACTTGTGATGAGAGAGAACAGGATTTAGCTTAAAGAGTCAGCTAATGGGCTTCTCCTGCCTAAAATTTTGTAGGTTTGCCTATGTGAGTGACCTTGGATATGCTGATTTAGGAGTTTCCATTGACTGAAGAATAACCTCTCTTGGTCATGGTGCCAAAGAAAAGCAATTAGCTGCCTCAGCTGCCTCCAGCTTTCCTTCATCACTTCCCTCTCCTGCATGAGCAATGTACAAACAGCCCAGATTTATTCTGCTTCTAACAGGGGAGGAGTAGGAGGGAGGAAAGCCCTATGTGAGAAGAGTGGGACCATAGAGCTGGGGTTGGCATTACCCTTGAGTTAGTGAACTGGAACAGCCTGTCCACTAGCCTGGGACTTGCAGGCATGTGGCATTCCAGAGCAATCATACAAAATGCTGCTAATGCACAAGGTACAGTCACTCTGAAGTGTATGCAAGATGGGAACCCACCCTGATGACCCCCTGCACTGCATGTATACATTTATATGTTAGTCACTTATTAGAGATTTATTTTAATCCATTGCTATCACTGTAACAGCAGCACTATCAAGTAGGCATTTCCTGTTTTTCTTTCTTATGTACAGAAAGCAGATGTTTTCCGAGCCATGAAACCAGAGTTGATCATTTTTCATAATGACACTGGTAACAACAGCCAGTCCCACAGACTAAAACCAGGGCTTGTCTAGCAAATCACAAGTTACAGCCTGCAGCAATGAGACTGCATGCAACAAAAGCAAGAAATTTTCAAGGATGATCTTTCAATATAATTCAATGGTAACAAATTTTACATAGAAAAACACCTGAAGCTCATTTTATAATCAAAATTGATAGAGCAATCTAAGTCAGAAGGGACCTACAAGGATCACTGAGTACAACTCTTAAGCTAATGGCCCATACAGGAATTGAACCCACAACCTCAGTGTTATTAGGACATGATCTGTGAACTCTCCTCAATTGCAATACCATGTGTGAGGGTCCTTGCAAGTGGTGGTAGATTCTCAAAGTCATTGAACAAATGTTTTGGGACAAGAGTAGAGACAAATATCATTACTGTCCTTTCTGTAAGAGGCTGGAGAGTTTTTTACTCTCACTTGTATTGGACAAGCACCTATATACTACAATTGTAACATGTTTCAGCTGAAGCATAGTAAGAAGCTTTATTTGTGCTATGCCCAGGGCAGCCCTTGTTTTCACATAAAGTACCTTTCCTGCTTACTCTAAAACCCTAATAAGTGTAGCAAGCAGTTCATCTAGAAAGGTACCATGATGG